CCCGCCACGCCACTCCCAAGGCTGGCGGTACACAATTCACTTGTTCCCCCTCACTGATTGTGTGTGTCATCGAACGAAAGTACTTTGAGCATCGTAACGATGGGATGATGCAGCGCGATGCAAGTGAGTCTGCCGCAACCAATTTCCCTAGTGCATTTCAGCTTGGCCCTCGAACCATTTGAAACTGGGCAGAGGCGTACCAGCACTTTGGACGTGTCCCAAGGTCCAACCGGAACTGCACCAGAAGACAACGTCGTTGATTCACGACGACGACTTCCAGAACAAGCGCGGTGAATGGTTGCGCTCAACTCATCCTTCGATTAGGACGCCTCGAAACTTTCAAGAGGTTGAATGATTCTGTCCTTCCAAAATTGTCAAGGAATCTGAGAAATTTTTCTCATGTTTTTTTATCAATTTGACAAATTGTGTGCATTTGGTCAAGGTGAAATCAAAACGTCGGTGTCGGAAGCAACGGCCTGCCACTGGATGAATTCTAACGGATACAGTCAAGACTCCCATGAAGGGAACTGATGAAAACTAATACCTATCAAAGTATATATGTAAACGATATCGAAAATGAAAGAATCCACCAAGACACAGCGAGCAATGGAGCGGCGAGTGTCGGACATGCGAAGGAAGCGCGCACGAACGATTCAAAATTCAAATTCAAAATGAGGGGAGCTGGACTAATGACGTCAATTTATTTGGAAATTATTCGCCATGCACAACGACGAGCCCAAGAGAGCTGTAAGGAAGTTCTTCATGACCTCCGAACAAGCTCACGTCGTAAAGCACGCAAAGGCGAACCCCGACATGACACTTGATGCGTTGTGCTCGTGGGCGTACCGAACACTGCGGCTTCCATCGCAGCCATCGACATCAGCAATGTCTCGCGCCGTGTATGCCCCTGTCCAGTCGACAGATCGGGCGGCATTCTTCGACAGCCTTCCCCGAGACTTCCCCGACGACAGCGTGCATGTGGTGATGGGCGACTTGAACGTACCGCTTGATCTGTATCTCGACACAGAGCGTCAACACCATGACTCAAAGAATGTGAAACCTACGGCGTTAACGGCACTTATCGCGCCATCAAGGAGTTCGCAGCCACAGTGAGCTGTACGTACGACGAAAGTGTGAACTTGGTGTTCTCGCAAGGATGGGCGTGTAAACTGCTCTCTCGTTGGCGCATGGGTCGCAAAGGAGTCCACGGGCAGCCGTTGTCGGTCGATGATGATGTCGTTGAGGAGGGGCGCGCGGCCTGCAGTCGTTAACGGCAATCTACGAGCAATGTGACGTTTACAATTTCGACGAAACGGCGTATTTCTACAGTCAAGAACCCAAGTTCACGATAGCAAGCAAGTGCGTAAAAGGACGGAAGAAGATTCAGCGTAGCAAGACAAGTTTCATGCTCGCCAAGTTTGAAGATGTCCGGTGTCGTCACAAAGAGGCCGGTACGGTCCCTTCGCGGCAAGAAATCGTCGAAATGCACAAGGTCGGAATGGAGTCTGCTGCCTTCAATTGGGCCAAGGAGGCTTGGGATGAGTTACAGTCTTCCACGATTTCAAACTGCTGGCGCCATACGAGCATTCTTGGCGATGGCATGGAAAATCTCTCAGTGCTCTTTCAAAGCCTGCACTTGGATCCGACATCCATCCGTTTCTTGACTCATTAGACATTTGTATGGGTGGATAATATACTTGAGTTTGTATCGACTTGTGAACTTCTATTCCTCTGATTTTCTATATTCGAACCTCTCAAATTCGTTCCCTTCATGGGAGTCTTGACTGTACATGTATGGATCATGGAAGAAGGAAGTATCGATGGAATGCCTCGAGCGTTCTGACATAGTGGATTACCGCAAGTGCTTTTGCGAAATCTGACTCAAGCTGATCGATGGATTGGATTCTAGCTCCAGCGTGAACATGGACCTGGTCGACCTACCCGCTGTAGTCACGACCCCCAAGTCGTATGGGTGACTCATGACGACTCGATCTTTTCCGTAAACGACGATAGCGGACCAATCCAGCACATCCCGATATCCCCAAGAAAGGCCTGGACGTGTCCATAATGGTGTCCGACTTTCTATTTCCATGCCATGGCTGTTTGTTCACTCCTGGTGCGTCCACGAATGCATTTGTGACCGAGGTGATTCGCGTCAGTATGGCCCAGGAAGTTTCCTGAACGACCACATTCTGGCGCAATTGATTCAAAACGACAATTATGCTTTCAATACCTTGCATCCAGCATGCGCTGCGTTGTTCACTTTCGACCAATCGACCGACCATGCCGCCTTCGCCACGACCTCAAAATGTATTCTGGCGGGAAGCAGCCCAAGATCCGTGATAGATCGCACGGTGACCAACGCACCTCTCGGGCCATGGTGTTTTCTGACGACTGCAGCGTGCAGTCGCTTCGAGTTGTGCCGGAATGAATCAAAGTCGTACAGGCGAGCAAGGACTGTCGACTGAGTCGATGCGTTTGACCTGTGGCCCGTGTGTTGAAATGCCAAACGATCGGGCGGTGCTCCAGTGTTGTGCTCGGCACTGCCTTGCATCAAAAGCGACACTTTTGGGGCCAGAGGTCCGTTTTGGAGGATTTGGTACAGTACAGTAGTAGATGCAGGCCACAAGTGCATGTTCTTCCCTAAATATCACTGAACTCAACCCAATCGTGACAGTTTGGCGCGCAACCAAGCACTTTACCCGCTGCAGCTATTCATGGGATGGCCTTGTGCAGTGTATTCGTCGCGACCTCGAGTCTGTGGCGCTCGTATCGATTTGAAACTTCTTCCACAGGTACTCTCATTTCATTCAAGCCTATAGCTTCAGCCTCTACTACAACATGTCCTAGTACTATCACAAGGAGTTCAAGAGCCACGGGTGCATCCCTCGAAGCATTGCACAGGCGAGCGTTGTGACCGCGGTAGATCGTTAGGTGATATGTCATAGCTAATTGCACAATTCTGGTTGTTGTAAGCAAATTTGAAATCATCGAAAGTCGCTACCAATTGACCTGGAACGTGCTGTAGCCTTCAGATAAGACAACTTCTAGTTAAAAAAAGGAATTTCTGGAAACCTAAAGAGCATTAGCCAATCGCTCAGTCGACATTTTGGAATACTTTATTGGTCCTAATAAGCTACAGTACACTGTACAAATGTCTACATTTATAGTTGGCGAATTGTAGCCTATAGGTGACTTGCACCGAATGATGCTAACGAGGATATTTGATTCGTTGAGCCGGCTCTCCTTTTCAATGTTATGGTCCAAAGCTCCATGTTGAGCGCATTGTTGTCCTTGCCCTCGCTTCGCGGATTCTTGTAGGAATATCCACCAATTGCGTCCAGCTTAGCTTCTATGGCACGATGCAGTATAGAAAAGTTCTTCCCTGCGGTCACAGGGGACAACTCACATATCGACATTTCCACTGCATGCACCCGATCGTCGATTGCCTTGCATTCCATCGACTGCTGCAAGGCCTGTATGGGGTAAATAAAAATTGGATTGTGTATAACACAATTTTCATCGTAAATTTCAACGCACGCTGTGCAGGGATTTTTGATCCACGAATATCGGCCTGTGCTTGCTGCCACAGACCACGACATTCTTCGCGTTGGTGACGACTATGTGCAAAAGTTTGCCTTGGCCATTTAATGCGATTTTAGGTCCTTGAACCGATTGATACACTGCGTAACCAGATCTCAGCTCGGTAGAGTGATAACATTCGTGTCATGTAGAGCTGCCGTCATGTAGCCTCGCAGAAAAGCACCATTCTTAGAACATTGGGACGTTACGCTGCGGGTCATATGTAGATATATTTCGTCGGCCACGACACTTCGAACCGACATTGATATTATTGGATAAAAACAACACCATTTCACGAATGCTGATTGGCAAGTGAATGCTGCAGTGAAAGACGAGTCATTTCAAGAAAGACCAAGTGCCATTACAGTCGCCCTTCGCGCTTACGCTTTCTAACCTCGCTCAAGGTATTGCTGTACGAGCTTGTATGACCCTCATACGCTAACTCAAACATATCATAACTAGAGTACTTTGAAAATGCCATGGAAAGCGTCAAGCGCTCAGAGAACTTGCGTCGGTCCGAGCGGATCATTTGTTTCATGAAGGCCCGCAGCGGCTGGAACAAACCCGATTGTGGATCCCCGGTAAACCATTGTTCCCATGCATCCTTGGCTGATCGTGCTGTTGGTATGGTAGCGTGAGAAACAAAGACATCATGGGTTGTTTGCCGTTGGGGCTTTGCGGCGATTTTGGTGGGCAATGACTTTGTT